GGGGGGCATGGGAGATGAGGGGACACTGGGGGGATGGCAGCCAGCCCCCGGGGGGGGCATGGGAGGTGAGGGGACACTGGGGGGGGCGGCAGCCAGCCCCCGGGGGGCATGGGAGATGAGGGGACACTGGGGGGGGGCGGTTCAGGAGGACAGCGCAGAACCCAGGCGGTGCCATAGGCTGTGCAGAGGTGGACGAGGCCCGGGACGGAGGCCGGTGCCAGGACCGGTCGGGACGCCCTGAGCAAGGCCAGAGCCGCGGCGGGAGGGAGGCAGGTGGGGAGGCTGCCGAGCGCTCCTGGAGCCTGAGGTTCCTTCCCTGCCCAGCAGTGCACGGTCCGGAGGGGGGGGCTGCTCTGTCCTCCTGCCTCACCCCCAGCTGCTCCAAGGCCGCCCTGCTGTCTGGTGGGAGTGCGTGTTTGAGGCAGAGCCAGTACGCACCTTCAGGACTGGGAGGCGGGGCTGACCCACCTTCCCAAGTTCTTCCTGAACCCGCCTTCCCTGCTGTACTGAGGGCTAAATAAACAAGTCTGGTGTCTCAGGACCCTGGCTTGGCCCCCCTCTGGGGCACACAGGCTGTCTGGTCAGACGGCAGGCAGACGCAGGCAGACGGGACAGCACTCCCTCCGTAGGACAGGCGGCTGGAGGCTCCCGGCCCTCCCTCCCTCCCTCCGGAGCAGTGCCCCGGGAGCTGCAGAGGGGCCGGGGCGTGTCTGGATGGCCGCGAGGCTGGGCCTGAGGTGAGGGTCATCTGCCGCTCTGCACAGCCGTTCTGGTCTCACTCCAAGTGGGCCCATCGTTTCTCTTGGTGCAGACACACTTAGGGAAAGGAGTCCTGTGTGTGGGCGCCCCTCGGTGCTTCCGGGCCTGGTCCTCACCAGCTGGGCGCCCCTCGGTGCCCCCCAGGCCTGGTCCTCACCAGCTGGGCGCCCCTCAGTGCCCCCCAGGCCTGGTCCTCACCAGCCGGGCGCCCCTCGGTGCTCCCGGGCCTGGTCCTCACCAGCCCCCCATCATTCTTTAGATCACCTGGATGCCAAAAAGGCAGGCGAGCTCTCCACCCTGTTCGATGTGGGCGGGATCTTCGGTGAGTTCAAAGCCAGTCTGAGCTGCTTTGCTGCAGGCAGGGACTGACTGCAGACCCGGCTCCCTGGCCGTGTCTGGGCAGGTGCAGGGTAGTGGCCTTCATACCCCAGCAGGGGAAAGGGCCTGGATGCTGGCATAAAACCTGACCCCCCGTGGTTTTATGGGCATCTCCTGGGGTCTCACATGGAAGCCCACCTGAGGCCCGCTGGGAGCCAGCCCCCGGCCCAGGGTGGACGGGGCGTGGGAGGGGGCCTGCCCCACAGGGCGACTCCGACCCTCCGGAGAGCGCGTGCAGGTTCAGCTCCTGACGAGACTCTCTGGGGCAGGTGGGATCCTGGCAGGTGTGATCTCCGACCGCCTGGAGAAACGGGCCTCCACCTGCGGCCTCATGCTGCTCCTCGCGGCTCCCACGGTCAGTGGTCCCTCCACCCTCTGTGGGCACCTCCATGGTCCTTCCACCATCCTTCACCCTTATGCACGGCGCTCCCCGGGGCCAGGCCGCTTCCCAGGCCCCTGCTCCCAGCTCCCCCTCACCGTGTTCTCCCACAGGCTGCTCCTTTCCTTGGGGTGCTTCTGAGGGTCCACTCCCGGCCCCCCTTGCCCAGGTTCAGCTCTCGCCCATCTTTAAGATCCCCAGACCCAGCTAGACACCGGTGGCTCATGCCTGTCATCCTAGCCACTCAGAAGACTGAGATCTAAGGATCACAGTTTGAAACCAACACAGGCAGGAAAGCCCATGAGACTCATCCCAATTAACCAGCAAAAAAACAAAAGTGGAGCTGTGGCTTGAGTGGTAGAACGCCAGCCTTGAATGGAAAAGCTAAAAAACAAAAAATCAGTGTCCTAGGCCCTGAGTACACCAGATTAGATAGATAGATAGATAGATAGATAGATAGATAGATAGATAGATAGATAGATACGTACATACATACATACATACATACATACATACATACATACACGATAGATTAGCTAGATAGATAGATGGTAGGTAGATAGATAGATACATACATACATACATGATAGATTAGCTAGATAGATAGATGGTAGGTAGATAGATACATACATACATATAGATTAGCTAGATAGATAGATGGTAGGTAGGTAGGTAGATAGATAGATGGTAGGTAGGTAGGTAGGTAGGTAGATAGATAGATAGATGATAACTAGGTAGGTGGTAGTTAGGAAGAGCTCCCCAGACCTTCCCCAGGCTCATTGTTCCCCATCAGACCTGGCTCATACTACTTTTCAAACCTGTTGTAGCAGATTACTTCCCCTCTCCATGCCTCAGTTTCCTCATCTGAGAACTGGGGTGACCTTGGTGCCTCCCTCCCATGGGGTGTGGTGCAGACCCCTCATCTGACTGCAGGAGAGGCCCGGCCTTCCTCACCCCTGCACCGCAGTGGCCCTGTCCACCTGCCTCCACCTGACCTGCAACTCTCCAGAATGGGCCTGGCTCTGCTGGCCCAGCACTGTCGACACGCACCCAGCCTTGAGGCGGTGGTGACTGGGGTGACCCCCGTGCCAGGCCTTTGGGTGCCTGCACCACCGGGCGTTGGCCTCAAACCTCCAGCTCGGGAAGTTGTCCAGTGCCAGGCCCAGGGCACTCCCTGCAAGGGGCCTCCACTCCTAGGGCCTCCTCACCTGGGGCCTGAGAACCCCTGCCTGGCTTTCTGGGCTGAAGACCCCAGGAAGCGCCATGCCCAGAGAGGACAGGGCTCAGGCGGCGCCACAGCCAGGGAGGGTGGGGCCAAGCAGCACCACAGCCAGGGAGGGCAGAGCCCAGGAGCACCACAGCCAGGGAGGGCGGGGCCAAGGAGCACCACAGCCAGGGAGGGCGGAGCCAGGCAGCACCATAGTCAGGGAGGGCGGGGCCAGGCAGCACCACAGTCAGGGAGGGCGGGGCCAGGCAGCACCACAGCCAGGGAGGGCGGGGCCAGGCAGCACCACAGCCAGGGAGGGCGGGGCCCAGGAGCACCACAGCCAGGGAGGGCGGAGCCCAGGAGCACCACAGCCAGGGAGGGCGGGCCCAGGCAGTACCACAGACAGGGAGGGCGGGGCCCAGGAGCACCACAGACAGGGAGGGTGGGGCCCAGGCAGTGCCATGCTGGTCTGGTCATGTTTAGCCCCATCTCCACCTCCCTCTTGTCCACAGCTCTATGTCTTCTCCTCCGTCAGCAAAATGGGCCTGGAGGCCACCGTGGGTGAGTGCCTGAGTTTGCTGCTGCCACTCTGGGTGCATGTTTGGGCCTGGCAGCTGGTGGTATAGAAGATGAAGGTGACCTGGAGCATGCAGGTGTGCCTGAGCCTCCCTGTGTGGTGACGTAAGCCCTCGCTCTCTCGGGAGCAGCCAGGCCCTGGCACAGCCCCTGGTGGGTGGTGCTCTGGGGAGGAGCCCAGTGCCCCTCCTCCAGCCTGGCCTCTGCCAGCCCTGAAGGGGCCGCTTCTGCCCCTAGGCAGTGTGCTTTGTGTCCTCACAGCCACAGTGGAGGCTGGAGGGAGGTGGGGGGCAGGGGAAGCTTCCCGTGGCCCCTGAGGCTGGATCGGGAAAGTGAGCCGGGGCAGACCCTGGGGTCCGAGGGCGGCACAATCGTCCCTCGGCCATGCCCGTCGGTGCTGACAGAGGAGCCCCTTCTGCAGCACGTGGCTCTGTTATGCAGACCCCCATCTCCACCCCGGCCGGCTCAGCAGGGTTCTCACATCGCACCTGTCAGTTGCCCTCCCAGGGTTCTGGGGAAGTAGCCATGGCTAGACCTGGAAATGCGTTTCTGGGCACGCTGAGAGGAAAGCTCCTTCTGCGGTGACCCTGGTGGTCTTGCCCATCCCCCTCCTCCACCCCTAGTCACCAGCTCTCACAGACGCCCGCCTCCAGGTGCCCGCCTAGCCTGTGGGGCTGGCAGGCCCCGCGGAGGCCCCGCTGTGCTCTGACCCCCCCCCCCACCTCCCCACAGCCATGCTGCTCCTCAGCGGTGCGCTGGTCAGCGGGCCCTACGCACTCATCACCACCGCTGTCTCCGCAGACCTGGTGAGTCGCCCCGGGCACGGCCTCCATCACGGCAGAGCCCCGTGGCTCGAGCCTTCCACCCGTGTGGGAGACCGAGCCTGAAGCCACACAGACCCAGCGGGGGAGAGGAGGTCCCGTCCCCGGGGGTCCCCAGGGAGGCGGAGGGGGCGGGCCCTCCTCATCTCCTTCCTGTGCCACCACCCGAGCCAACGGGCCAGCTCTGCCCACGGGATCACGCGTGCTCCTGAAGCTGCCCTAGGGAGCCTGCCCTTGGGTCTGAATGCATGTGTGGGCTCACAGCCATGTGCCCAGGGAAAGTTCTAGAAGGATCCACAACAGACCACAGCAAGGGTCAGCTCATGTGGGCAGGGCCTTTCACTAGACTAGAATGGCTGTGATGACTTTGGCGTTGGGTCCGTGCCCCGACAGGCAGCAGTGGCTCCCCAAGCCCTGGTCTCCTCTCGTGTAGTGGGCCCCGGACACTGCGTCTGGCTGGCCCCGGCCCTGCCCTTCTCCCCACCTCTCTATGTGCGGCCTTTGAGGAGCCAGAGGTCCACATCTCCCCTCTCCCTTCTCCTCCTCCCCAGGGGACTCATAAAAGCCTGAAAGGAAACGCCCACGCCCTGTCCACTGTCACGGCCATCATCGACGGCACGGGTTCTGTAGGTGTGTGGGGAACGCAGGGAGCTGGGGGTGGGGGTGGCGTTGTCTCATCCTAATTACCAGCTGTGGGGATCCGGGTGCCAGCGCCAGCATTGGCTGCGCTGGGAGATCGGGGTGGGGGGTGCTGAGTGGGCAGCTGGCAGGTGCCAGGCAGATAGACAGGCGGCTGGCGGGGCCTGGCACTGCTCGGTGTGGGAGAGCCTGCCTCCCGGCTCCCGTCTCAGCCGGCAGCCGGCAGCCGCGGCCTCCAGCCCTGTCTCCTCCCTTGATTCTTCCTCAGCAGCCTGCAGGAAGCCCAGAATCCTAATTCAGTTTAAGTTCCTAGAAATCTAACCAATCCAGAGACACCCACAGTCTGACCCCGCCCACCTGGGGGGTGCCTGGGGAGAGCCCAGTAGTGTGTCCTCCACAGAAGGTGGCGAGTCCGCACTGCGTCCCTGTGTGGGCCAGCTCTCCACTGCCACGTCCGGGCTCCTCAGACCATTGCGCAAATGGAGGGAAGCTCTGTCGTGGTCACGGTTTTGAAAGTTCCAGACCACCGTGGTCAGTGACCCAGCGGGGAGGCGCTCATGGTGGTGAGCATGTGGATGGAGCAGAGCTGTTCACCTCATGGTGGCCAGGAACAGAGAGAAAAAGAGGAAGGAGCTGGGTTCCGATGTCCTCGGAAAGGCCAGAGCCCAGTGACCCCTTCCTCCCGTTCCCTCACCTCCTGGGAGTGCCACGGGCTGGGACCAGGTCCTAGGCATGAGGCCTTCCAGGGACACCCCAGCTCCAAGCCCCCGGGCCTCAGGAAGGGGCGGGCGCCGGGCTGGGCCAGAGAGGCCACCCCGGGGCTTCCCGCCTGTTCTAGGCACCACTGGGCTTTGGTCCTGGGCTTTGGGTACCCGACAGCCCAGCCTGGTCCTCAGCATCGCCTCCATGATTTTGTTGGATCCAGAAATAGCTGACTTGCTGGGTGACCTTAGGGTCCCTCCAGTGTAGCCTTTTAAGGACTGTGCCGGCAGCAGCAGATCAGGGTAAAGAAGACCAGGAAATTGCAAGTGAGGTTGAAAGGCACATTCTAGTTTACTAGTTTATACCTGTCAGTGAGGGGAAGCAAAGGCCAGGGGAGCCCAGCAGCCGCCCCTGCGCTCCATGCTGCACCTTTGCTGGAAGGATGGAGGCGGGGGGGGGAGGGAAGGGGCAGATTCCGGTTGAGCCCCTCAGGCACAGCCCTGCGGGGGCCACACACTGGCATAGGAGGGGCGGTGGGGCCTTGGTGCTATTCTGCCAGCTCGAGTGCCCGGGGACTGGGTAGCTGGTCACCATGGCAACGGCACACAAGCTCATTAGCGCGTGGTCCTAGAGACAAAGTCAAGGACTGGGGGAGGCCACACTGTTGGGGGGAGCGCCGCCCCCAGTGCACTCCCGGGGTGCCCGCATTGCACAGGTGCCGGTGGAGGCAGCGCCCGGGGCATCAGCCTCTCACTAACCACGACAGGATTCTTGTGTGCTCCGGCCGGTGCTTAGAACTGCATCCGGGTGAAATGGGAGGCCAGCCGCCATTGCCCAAGCTCCACATAGACAAAGCAATGAACAGTGAGACAGGAGAAGCCAGAACATGGGAGGAGCTGGACAGTGCTCTTGCTCTGTACTCCACCAGCTCGCCCCACAACCCACCATCAGCTCACCCCACACCCCACCACCAGCTCGCCCCACACCCCACCAGCTCGCCCCACACCCCACCAGCTCGCCCCACACCCCACCAGCTCGCCCCACACCCCACCAGCTCACCCCAAACCCCACCACCAGCTCGCCCTGAACCCCACCAGCTCCAGCTGTGTTGCAGGTATCCTCAGCCAGCCAGGAGACAGCTGTAGTCCTGGGTCTGCAGGCCTGTTCTTCCTCCAGGTCCCGGCTCCCCATCCAGGGTGGAGCCCCGATCTTGAGGCACCCCCCCCCCCACTGCTCCATGGTAGCAGGTGGCTTGTGGTCATGCGCTGAGCTCCGGAGGTGAACGCTGGGGGCCAGCACAGCAGTGGTGCCAGAGGGCCAGGCTCACCGCACCTGTACTCAGGAACTCTAGATTCTCCTAGCCCTTCCCACGGCCGGTTCCTCCTGGAACCCCTCTGCACCCACAGGAGGCCGGCTGGTCCTGCCCTGTCTTTGCTTCCAGGAATCCAACCCCAGTATTCATTTTTAAGTTTGTTTTGCCAGTTTTTTTTTCTGTCCTCGTTTTTTCTCTCTGCTTGGGCCCCGCCTGCCTGTCTCCTTGTTCTTCATGCTCTTTTTTTGGTAGTACTTGGATTTGAACTCAGTGCTTTGCATTTGCTAAGTAGGCACTCTACCTCCTGAGCGACCACTCCAGACTAGGGTTTTTTTGGTCATGAGCCTTGAACTCTGGGCCTGGGCGCTTTCCCTCAGCTCTTCAGCTCAAGGCTAGCACTCAACCGCTTGAGCCACAGCACCACTTCCGGTTTCCTGGTGGTTTATTGGAGTTAAGAGTCTCACAGACTTTCCTGCTGGCTTTGAACTGTGATCTTCAGGTCTCAGCCTCCTGAGTAGCTAGGATGACAGGTGTGAGCCACCGGCACCCGGCTCAGACTAGTTTTTTTTAGACAGTAGGGTCCTGCATCTATGCCCGTGGCAGCTAGACTTAGGGAGGATAACAGGCTTCCACAGCCGCACCAGCTTGTATTGTTTGAGATACATCACAGAAACTACCTGGACTGGCCTCAGTTTCTCTCTTTCCAATCTCCTCTTCCTGAGGAGCTGGATTACAGCCAGGAGCCTTACGTGGCTTGTCAAGGATGTCCTTGACTTTATCTCCCCACCGCTGTATTTGACCTTTTAGCTTACCTGTTATGTTTCAGCATCTGTTGAGTTCTTTCTGCTTTTTAATGCATCTCATAGGTGCAGTGGGTGTGTTGGATCAAAAGTGAGGGTGTGGGTTGGGCTTACTTTTCTGTTAGCTGTCTGGGGCTTTATTGTTTCTGGGAATTTTCTTCTCCTTGTTGTTTCTCTTGCTTGGACTGCCCTTCTCCCATTTGCTTTCTCTTGTGGCATTCGGGGGCATCCTGGCACAGGGGCTGATTCTTGGCCGCGCTCTGTCTTCCTGAGTCTCCGGCACCTTTCCAGTGGAGAGCATGTTGAGAGCTGGTCTTCACTCAGCTCCAGCTGGGGCGGGGCAGGGGGGAGGGGGCTCCCCACTGGCATTCACTTCAGAGTGGGCTGTGGGTAGTGGTCCCTGGTACCCTGTGCTCCGTCGGCACCCCTGGACTGCCCTGTCAGGGGCCTGGCACTCCCGAGGGTAGCCATGCCCTTCTGTGGAGGGCTCCGAGGGGTGCTTGCAGTGTCCCCTTTCTCCCGCCACCCTTCCCCCTGCACCGCGTGCTTGGACGGGCTGATATTGCCCGTTGGTGGGGAGTCCTGGGTCACGGCCCTCCAGGAGCTCAGCAGTGCAGGGGACACAGACTCCCTGCTCACCCCCAGAAGCAGGGCCCTCCCCTCATCTGCCCCCACTCCATGGTGTCTGGGAGGCGTAGAGAGAAACGCCTGGAGTGGCCAGCCGTGTTCCTCGGGAGTTTTCCTTTCTCCTAACCACCTCTCAGATTAGAGAGTAGTCAGTGTGCTTTGTAAACAGCTGGAACTATATAAACTCTCCATATGGCAACGATCTCTTCCAGGAGATGAATCTCAGCTCAGAACTTGGGGGACATCCTTTCTACTTCCCCCCGGCACCTACCAAAACAAGCCGCCCTGTGTACCAGAACTCGAGTCTGACAGGAAGACGCTGGGATCTGTGTCCTCTGGCACTGGGGGGATGCTTGCCTTCTTTCGTTTATGTTTTAAACTGTTACCTTATGTGGAAAATCACACCTAGTTCAAAGATTCACAGACATTGTGGTACATTTGCATTATCCTCCATCTCTCCTATTTACACACATACCCACATTCACACATGCTCACATGTGCCCACCTGTGCACACACATGCACACACGTGCACAGGCACACACACCGGGAGGTATTGCCTGTACCCAGCAACTCTTCACAGCATGAGGATATATGAAGTATTCATTGGATTCAGATTCACACAAATTCAACAATCATGATGACAATGTTGGATCAGACCAACAGAGTGGACATTTCGAATGTCAGGGCATGCTTTTAGAACTGTTCCCAGAAGGCCGTTAGGACCTTGCTTGTCTCCGGCTGAGAGGTGCAGACCCCTCTGATGGTCCTCCCTACTCACCCCCACGTGGGCCTGTGTCCCTGCAGGGGCAGCGCTGGGACCCCTGCTGGCCGGGCTCATCTCCCCTTCTGGGTGGAGCAACGTGTTCTACATGCTGATGTTTGCGGACACCTGTGCCTTACTGGTGAGTCCTCGTGCTTTGCTTTCCTCGGCCATTACAGAGGGGTTACCATTTCGTAAGTCACGCTTGGGTACGCATTCTCCTGGTTTTTCCCTCCCATTCCTACCCACAAGTTACGTAGCTCATCTTTAACATAGTGTCTAGTGAGGACATTGCTCCATTTGTTCACCCTTTGTCCCTTCAATTCTGCACCCTTCCCCTCCCCCCACAACACAGATAAATGGACAAACAAGACAAAAAGAAAAGGGAAAAAAACCCTTTTGTTTCCATTTCCTGGAGTTCTTGTCTATGAATATCGTTTTATGATCGTAGGCACAAAGGCCTTTGTGCTCCTCGCCTGGGCATCCTCCTTTGGCCTCGCTGTGTGAGTGCTTAGAGACCTGCATAACTTACCACGTCCTGGTATATTTGAGAGGAAAATGTGTCATTTGTTTCTCTGAGCTTGACTTACCTCACTTAACAAGATTTGTTCTGGCTCCATCCATTTCCCTGCAAATGACATATTATGATTTCTAATGGTTGTGTTAAATTCCATGTTGAATAGGTACCACATGTTTTGGATCCACGCATCTATTATAGGGCATCTGGGCTGCTTCCATACTTGGCCATGGTGACTAGTGCAGCAGTGAACGGGGTGTGCAGGTGTCTTTGTGATAGTTATCTTGTTTTAATCTAGGCAGCTCCGGGGAGCTTCCCTGTGGCTGGAGGCCAGACTCGAAAACTGGCCTCCCGCAGGCCCCACCACTACTGAGTACATGGGAGCTGAGGACTCTCTCTCTCTTAGAAAAATAGGAATCAGCAACAGAAGCAAGGGAATCTTTTGTTCTGTGATTTTAGCAGGATGGATTAGAGCCAAGAGGGGGGAGCTCTGAGACTTTGTGACTGGATAGTGTTCAACACTAGGGCTTGAACCCAGAACCTCTAGTTCTCACTTGTTTTTTTCACTCAAGGCTTAGAGTCTACCACTTGAGCCACACTTCTACTTCTAGCTTTTTGCTGCTTAATTGGAGATGGGTCTTTTGGGCACTTCTGTCCATGAATGCTTTTGGACTGTGATCCTCCACTCTCAGCCCTCCTGAGTAGCTAAGATTACAGGCATGAGCCACCAGCGCCCAGCTACCACTTGGGTTTAGCACGACTTGAACCCAGAAGTCATTCAGCCTGATGTCTGTCACGAACGAGGACTTGGGGGATGGGGGGGAGGCCTGTGCGCAGGCCCGAGCCCTGGGGCCAGGCGCTCTCAGGAGAGGCATCTCCCCACACGTGTCTGCGGGCTGTGGGAGGCGGGGCCCTCAGCGTCTACATGCCCCTCGCAGAACAGCACTGTCTCCTTTGTTTTGGGCACAGTGCTTGCTTCGCCTGATCCACAAGGAGCTGAGCTGCCCGGGCCCCGCGGCAGGGGACCAAGCCATGTGAGTGCCCAGGGCCCCCGTGGCCGGGCGGCCGCCTCCACCCTTACCTCCCAGGGGACGCACCTGCCACGTGTCCACGTGTGTCCCCCCGCTCCCCTCATCCCTACCTTCCCAACGGATGCCTCTTCACGGGGGGATGGTGGTGTCGCTCCCCAAAGCCCCTGAAGAACGTGTGGGAGCTCAGCCTCCCGTGTCAAGCCTTGCAAGCCTCCGCGGCCCG